CAAAGTATACAATTAGGAAGTAATATAACAATTAAGAATTATACCCCCTTCTTAATATCTCCAAACTTATTCTAGAAGAAATGCACAGAAAATTTTCTGTACTAATATTTATAATTTCAAACTCTTAAGTGTTGTGTAATTATTTCTGGGAGGTGCAATGTGTGAGCTGTTTATATGAGATGAATGGAACCATGAATTTATAAGTACATGCTCCATTACACTCGGAGTGTATTGCTTCTTAATTTACATCTTGCTTTGGGCCATGCAGAAGATTATTCTGGCTATTTTAAAAGAACTGTTCCAAATTCTGTAAACTCATCTCCCACAAGTCCTTTTTATTCTGGGATTTGAAAATCATTTGGTGGGCAGAAATTTCACCATGCATTTGTCAGATAAATTTCCCACTTATCATATTTGGCTTATGGCAATATGGTAGTTTTCAGAAGAAGAAAGCATAAAGCTCATGACTTACTCTAATGGGACAGGAAAATGTAGAGCTAGAAGACAAAGAATATAATTATATTTTTATGAGGAACCATGTAAATATATTACTAAAAATGTTCTTTTAAGTAGCATAGTCAAAAGGAGAAAGAAGTAAAAGCACTGGAAGCTAGACTGAAAAATCCTTTGATCTAACTTCTAGACTCTTCTATTTAATAAATTGAAGGCATCAACTTTATGCATCTGACTAAAATGTACTTAATTAATTAAGGATATCATTACTCAGGATCTTAGCTGGAAAAAAAAATAAAAACTTAGGAAGCTTTAGAAATGTTGCTTCTGAATAAAATATCTTTGAAGAAAAAATTTAATATACCCAAATTAGCGTATTTTCAATGAGTTCCTCTTTCTGAATTTGAATAACTCAAAATCATTGATGTTTTCTGTGAGAATGGGAGAAATCCAAGAGTTATGATTCTCCTGCTTATGATTAGTTGTATGTTTGGGAAGCTTTTTAAGCTTTCTGTGTTTCTGATACATAATCTGTAGAACCAAAGTAGCATAGTCAGAAGACCATTCTTGCAACTTTAGAATTTTGTTTCTAACCTGTTACCAAGCATATTACCTATAAAACAAAAGATCAGTGGAATTTTTTTTCCCAGTTAACCTACTCTAAGTAAATCCATTGTATAGAAAATAAGTGATTTAATGCTTAGTGTTCTTATAATTAAATTACTGAAAGGTCAATAGACTAGAAAAATGCCTCCATAATAATCTTAAGGAATGTTTCCCCAATTCCCAGAGGCACGTGCTCCCTACCCTTCTCCACACGTATGACTCCTGGATATTCTCTTTTATTGAGGAGATTTGTGGGGAGCAAAATTGGAGAAGGAATTGATGGCCATGTGTGTTTTGAAAAGCTGACAAGGTCTCTTGTGATACAGTCTCTTCCTAACCCAGTTGAATAACACTAGGTTGAGCTAACATTTCTTAAGAGTATATGCAAATATGTGGACAGTATTCTAATCTTCCCAAAACAATATCAATGTTATTGTTACATTGATACAAAAAAATCTACATTAAAATTATTTATATATTATTTTAGAGAGTGCACGTGCAAGTGGGAGAAAGAATCAGAGGGGGAGAGAGAGAGAGAAAGAGAAAGAGAGAATCCCAAGCATGCTCCACACTATCAGTGCAGAGCCTGATATGGGGCTCAATCCCATGACCCTGGGATTATGACTGAGCTGAAACCAAGAGTCGGACACTTTCCTGACTGAACCCTCAAGGCACCCCAATCAGTTTTAATTATGACTGTAGTGTATCCCCACTCTTGAATTTGGAAAAAATGTAAGGCTAACTTAAACTATTAACTATAATTATGGATAGGTCATATCTTTATACCCCCCAAATTTTATGTCCTAAACACTTATTAAATATTTAGAATCACTTCAACATATAGAACTTTAAGTGTATATACTTGTTCCTTTACATGTTTCTGGACATAAATCGTGGGAGGAAAGAGTCCTCTAAGAAAAGGTACACTGAGGCTATGGAAGGTTTATTGCCAAAAAGGCAAATGGGATGTCAGGATCTATGATCCAGGCTTTGATGTAGGCTTAGATTTTTATCCTTATCAGGGCCTATGAATGAACAGAAAATACACAAATGACTAAAGCAAGCACATACTGCACTCAAATATAAATAGTTTATTAAATGCATATTATACCATGCAGTGCATCAAACAAACCCAGCTCAATCCTTGCCACAATCCTTTGAAGTTTGTATTGCTTTCTTCATTTTATGTATAAGTTTAAATTTATACATGGTCATAGAGTTAGTAACTCTCAGATGGCATTTGACTCTGTTCAAAGTTTTGTAAAGACCTGTATCAGAACTCCTCCTTGCAGCTTATTAGGTTAGTTGTACAATCTTGGGAAGCTACTGATAACTGCAGTGCAGACCTCAACACTCATGTGTGTCCATAATAAATCACCTTTCCTGCTTGTATCTGTGTACCTAGACAGTATCTATCTATCTATCTATCTATCTATCTATCTATCTATCTATCATCTATCTATCTATCTATCTATCATCTATCTATCTATCTATCTATCATCTATCTATCATCTATCTAGATGTCTGTAGATCTAATATAGATAGACACTATTGCTAGATATAGATATAGATATATCTGGAGAGAGAGAGTGTGAGCACGTGAAATTTTGGTAATACAAGCCACGCAGAGTAAAGCTCCCCAAACTCTTCTCTGATACTGTAGATATGTAAATGAGTATGAAAACAAATTTCAAAAGAATGTTGTAAGGTTAAAGTTAGCAAATTTGATCTTGCTAAAGAAAAGAAAAATACTTTTATAATTTCTGGAAACCATATAGAAAACAAAAATTTTGTTTTGGGGGCATGGGTATTCTTAACATTAGATGTCCTCAAAACTATTTCCTTGGGAAATATATTTGATAATACACATTATTTTCTGTTCTTCTTTAGAAAAGATCTTACTCTTAACTCCGTATTCCTTTCATGGACAAATACTTAAATTTTCTTGACCTTTAATATTAATCTATTGATATAAATGATATTGATGAACATTAATATGTATTGATTATCGCAAATTTTATTTCACCCAGCTCTTTAAAATCTTTCAACCACTTCTATTCTTCATAGAATATCATTCCTATCTTAGTCTGCAAAGCTTTGAATAATATAGTCATATTTTAAGTTTCTTTGGGCTCAAGATCAATCACTCCCACCATAAAAGGCTATTTACAGTTCCTTAGAAGTTCTTATATCTTTACTGCTTCTGGCCTTTGAACACACTACCCTTTTTGATTTTCACTTGGTGTTCTAGCTAAATCCTTTTCATCTTTTAGTACACAGCTTTTTACTTCTCCAGTAAAGCTAAACTCATACAGGTCAACTCATATAATATTCTATATTAAAATATAGTGCTTAGTCTTCATTAGAGTTTTTTGATATCTATAATGATTAACACATAATGCATTTTTAATAAAAAATGAACAAATAAATGATTTTCCATGCCTTTATTCAACTCTAAGCTCATTTTAATATATTTTTAAAAATCTAGATGAAGTGACATCAGGTATAAGACCTGTTACAAAAATTACTTGGCCTCTTTCAGATGATTTTTTTTATATTGATACTTTTGTAAATATTGATTTCAATGTGTTACCCCATTTATAAGTGACAGACATAAGAAATAACAAATCTACTCAGATACATAAATACTGACATTACAGTTTATTAGCTTTGACATACATTTTTTCCATCTTTTTTCTTTTTTTTAATTGATATTTTAACTCCTTAATTTCATGGAATATCTTCAATATTTTCTATACCTCACAAAATTTAGTACTGAAAATTTCCTAATCATCATCTTCATCATCATCATCATTTCCTCTTTGTTTTTTACATGGACCCAGTGCTTACTTAGCATCAGACACAATCTTAGCAACAATTCTGAGATAACTACAGATACTATCCTCATTAAAAAAATGAATAACCTTAGAATCTAAAGTGACTTCTTCATGTAGCAAATGTTAGGGGAAGAATTGAACCCATAAAACCTGTCAGTGGGGTCTCTTCTGTAACTGGTATTCAAAAGATATGTGTTTTTATGGTTTAAGATTACTTGAGTAGCTAGTAATCTGTGTATTCTTGACACACTAGTTAATATACTCAAGAGCAAGAGACCCATCTAGGATCTGGACAGATGTTTAAGAGGTATACTTTTAGGTATACCCTGGAGAGAGGTTACTAATGCTAGCCAATATAGTTATCAATAATTGAATGCTTTATGACAATCATCTTCCTTTCTGATTCTATACATTTTCCTTGTTGCAATGCCATCCTTAGCAACTTACTCAGATAGCTAATGTGTAATTAGTTATCAGTGTGTTTGTTACCATTTTTCATAAAATGTAGTATATTTATGCTTGTACTAATAATTTGACTAAAAATTATATCTTTTGTTAATTAGTAAGTAGTTCAGTTTTATTAATCACTAAAGGAAATGGTTGTCAACAATATCTGACTCTCTCAAATGTGAATAAGTACAAGAATTACTATATTTGCAAAATTACTTCTATTTCACAAGTTTAAAAATGTTCCTCAATAAATGATTTTTGATCATGTTAGGAAAGAATTTGATAAGAAATCCAAGAACAAGAAAAACAAGTTATTTGGAAAATATTTACTTCGCTCTTTACACTATGATTTCTGTATAAATTCAAATAAATACCCTCATGTTCTCTTTCTCTCTCTTGAAAGAAAACAAGTTTGATTTGATGATTAACTTTTAGAAAATTAGATATTTTTTTCAAAGTTTTCAATAAATGTAATGGAAATTATATATTAATGAAATATGAGTAGAATTTTGCCTTTTTAAACAAAAAACAAAACTGAGGGACTTTTGGCCAAAGGCAGTGAAAAGGGGTGTTTAACTTGACCCAGGTTGATTGTATTCAATTCTTTTATTTTTATTTGAAATAAGAAATATAGAAACAAGTGATTCAACTCATGTTATATGTTGCAGCAGCAAAGTTAAGTAGAGCCAGGCTGAAGTTCGCCCCATTGGATGTCAAGGTTGAGAAATTTACATTTGGGTAAGTAGAAACAAAACACTAAACAGAACTGATATGCTCAAGAGAGAATAAAATATTTCTACAATAAGGAATAGGAAATAGAGATCATACAGACCCAAACGTTAAGATCAGCTATCTAAAAATTTTTCCAATTTTGTGGTAGCTAACTGTACTTCCTAAAATTAAGGATCAGGAAAGTGCTTTGTATGTTCTCAATTAGCTACCTTTGTAATCTGAACTTATCTGAAAATTCTTGAAATCAAATTTCTTTTAATTGTATGTACATAACCTGTGCTATCTAGATTTGAATCAATGTGTATATAACAAGGATAATCCTTTTTAACATATATTCAGGATTTAGTTTGTTGATTCACAATTTTTTTCTCTGTCAAATGAAATGTTTATTTCTAAACTTCAATTAAAGATTCTTCAAATAAAAACAGTATAATTACATGAAAAATGTGAGAAAGGAATGCACTGCATGAGGAATATATTTATTCTTTCTCTAATTCTATAAGTACCTAAGTTTATTGTTGTTTTAGAAATTACAAAGAGAATCTGAATAGTAGTTTATCCTCACTGAAATTCCATGTTAACCTTTACCAGTGTAGCTAATGGGTGTGGTGGCATGAAGAGCATTGGCTTTGAGAGAGCCAGGACCATCCTTAAACCCAACTAGATGGGACCACTTTTCTGACCAGGCTTGAAAGTGCTCCATCCTGATCCTCTCAACACGGAGGGAAATACTTAAGTCTAAGGCAATGTATTCACCTGTATCCCATGTACCTCTTTCCAGATCACTCTTCTGATACTCAGAACCTGAGTTCTTTCCCAGTGTGGTTCCTACAGGGTAGGCTAAACTGCCAGTGTATTAAACTCTAAGTTAGAGTGGGGGTAGGGGAGAAAAGGTGGCCAAGACATGGTTCTTGTCAGACAGTGTGGACAGAGCTTGAACAGACAGGCTAATGTCTCCATGCCCATGTGCAAAAGTCTCATAGTATGAGATTGAACCTGCCATGTAATCAAGGAGAAATTGGCCAAGGGCCAGGAGCTGGCTCTTTCTTAACTACCACATTCAGGAGTATAAGAATGCTGTAACTGATTCTTGCTTTCTAGGTCATTATGAAAGTATGTTTGTCAAGTTAGGAGGCTAAAACATATTCCTTTGTCTGCTTTATAACTTTTAAGTATATGGTATGTGGACTTCTATTTGTATTATCATTGTTAAGATTCTGATGAATGGATATTGTGATCTACTGGTCTTGTAGCTTTTAAGCTCCTCATCTTTATGGCTCATGATATCTGCTTTTTGGAATACTCAAGGGGAAGGGTCCATCACAACATCCCTCCTCTAATCACTAAATTAAACTCAGGACACAGAGCTGTTACTCTGTGATTTTCCCAGAATATATTTTCTCCTGTCCATTCAGTATTAAACATTTTTTTTAACTCAAGGAGCAAGGGATATCTTAATTTATTTCTTGAGGAAAATAATTATTTCCTATTTGAGTTTAAGTGGAAACAGTCCCCCTATAGTGTAGCTCTGATTTTGTCCACCCTTTATAATAACATTAATGTTCTTCCATGAACAGTAGGTAGAGGCAAGATTAAGTCATTTAATGCCTAATTTATTTTGTACAGCTTTACATTGAATTATATATATGTCCTGGTTATAAAACACAAGAAATAGTGATAAAATAAATATGGAAATGGTACATTTTCTTAACTGTATTTATTTCATAAACCTAACTCCTGGTGTTTTATTTCTGTTCATTTGTTTTGCTAATTTATGTTTATATATTTTTTTCTGTTGAAAATGTCTTATGGCTACATCTACCAGAAAAGGAACCTGGTTTCTTTATCAAAATAAACTTAAAAAAATTTGGTGTGTTAAAAGCTATTTTTTAAAGTATCAGCAAAAGTTGTTTCTTGTTAATATATACATTATACATGGTCAGTAGCAGTAGACACTTTCTTCGTCTTTTCTATTGATACTACTTTTTAAGGCAAGGTGAAATTATATATAGAATAATATCCAGCTCCATTTAAATAAATATTATTGTAATTGTCTTACAACTCCAATAATGATAAAAGTATCATTTGAGAGGTAGCAATGCTTCATTCCACACCAAAATTTTAGTGTATGGGGTAGAAATATTTTATGAGGTTTCCACATTTAGATTTTTGTTCTATTGTATGTGATTGTGTTCTAGTTGGTCCATTCAGGGAATCTTACCAAAATCATAGGTTGACTTTGACTTTAAAGCTGTTAAGGCTTAAACACCATTTATGTAAATGATGATACAAATTTTAAAATACAAAGTAGGGGCACTTGGGTGGTTCATTTGGTTAAGCCTCTGACTCTTAGTTTTAGATCAAGTCATAATCTTGCAGTTGTGAGATTCACCTCCACATCAGGCTCTACACTGGGTGTGGAACCTGCTTAAGATTCTCTCTTCCTCTCCTTTTGCCCCTCTCCTATTTGTGCAAGTGTGCATGCATGCTCTCTCAAATAAAAAATAAATAAAATAAAATACAAAGCAATACACAAATTTAGATTACAAGACATGGTTTAGAACTCCTACTCTGTCAACAGGAAGGCACATATGTGGCTTTTTATGTGGAAAAAAATTCTAAACTGAATTCCCCATTTTTGTAAATTTGCATGAATTTAAATGTAAACCAAAATGTTTGCTTATATAGTCTGTGTTAATAAATTTCACTATCTCTATTGGTATTATTTTTCCTTATTGTTATTTAAAAGAAGAGTGATACTATTTGTATAAAAAATCTACCATATGAAATAAGGATATACTGATATTTTAACTATTGAATTTAAAATTATACAGTCAGGACTTAATTTTAATGCTTTTATTTAATAAGTGTATAGCTGTGAATAGAAAATCTAGTTTATATCAATAGTAATTTCATGTTTTCATCAATGTTATTTTATATGCAAAAAAGTCCAAAATAATAATTGGACTGTAAGAAATTGTTCATGAACATATTTTCAGTTTATAAAAGTAAATGATATAATTTAAATTTAATTCATTGAAAGTACTTGTAAATATGTTTTACCTGGATTCTAGTCTCATCCCTACTCCATTTTATCTTTTTGCCCCTCAGTGGCCTCATCAACCTCATGTGGGCTCTAAATTAGAGCTGAAGCATTGTGTCTGTCATTAACTGCTTATGTGACTAAGGTAAGTCATTTTTCTTCTATAAAAATGAACATTTTATAAGTGAGCTATAATCTCAAAGTTAAATCTAAAACCTTCAATGGAATTATATTTCTGAAAGTCAAATTTAAGGCTTAAGCTCTGTTTGTTTTCCTGAGAGAATTTTAATACATTATTAGTGAATGTTGATAATTATTTCAAACTTTTTCAAGAGCTTGCATACAATGTGCACAGGTCTTCATCAAACAGTACAATAGCCTACAGAGTGACTTCCACTTATTAATTCCTGAGAGGTTTATAAGTGAAGGTAATGGATTATGCATGGATGCCTTTTCCATATTAAGTGGAATAATCAGCTAATTTTTCTTTAACATTGTTTTGTAGTCTATGAAGGAAGCCAGAATGTCACCCCAAAGTGTCTCTTTGACATAAAAATTAGTTTGAATTGAAGGCAATTAAGAAGAAAATCCAGAAAAAGCTTTCCCTTTTCTGCTTAAAGGTAGGTATAAGATTTCCTTTTATTGGAGACATTCTTATCAGGCCAGAGATGGCACCAGAGAAATCTGCAAACACACCTCATTCCATCAGTTTTCCTTCCCACAGCTTGCCACCCTTGGAGTCCTTGAACTGCTTTTCTTTGTCCTGTCCTTTTTCTACAAATTTGTTCTTAGCTGAAGATGCTATACAGGCTGCTGCTTTGAATTACTTTTTTGTCAAATTTCTCCTGAATAACATCTGTTGCACATATTAACAAACTATTTTTCATATTAATCTGTCTTTTTGTAAAAGAGTCCAAGCTGAAACCCTAAGATGGGTAAAAGTAAAGTTTACCCTCCTTTACATCTGCATGTTCATTACAATCTTAGATGCTTTTCTTCAACATTTTTTTAGTACCTATATATCCATTAGAATCCCAGGTGTTTTTATGTCACTCGTCCATCATGGCAATTATTTTGAGTTTGTTATAAACGGCTGGAACCCTTGAAATTAAGAGAACCTTCCATTTTTGAAGGTAATGCGAGATACAATGACACATTCATGGGCCCCACTAAATTAATGGTGGATCTTGTCTATTCTTGCAATAGATATATTCTAAGTATTAACTGAAAAAAGTAATATTAAAAATGCAATGAAATCCTTTGATCACTGGAATTATACATTGTGGTTCAAAAGAAATCTAACATCATTTAGGACACATTTTAGAATTATACAAGGACCAGAGGAGAGAAAAGATCTTGCTTTCAAATTCTGAATATATATTGTTGAAGAAGAGTGGTGTATTGCTTTCCTTGTTGCTCATGCCTCTGCAAAGCTGGGCATGGCTTTGGTTTCAGTGATGGTGGAAATGAGAAAGGTGCTAGTGAAGTGCAATTTTTTAGCTGCCTTTGATAGGGTGGCAATCCTTTCAGAGTAGAAATTTGGAAAAAATTATCTCCTTTATTACCTATTGCAAGTGTTGGCTTCCTCCCATCTCCTTCTTTTTGATGTTTCCCCATTAATGTAAACTTCCTTTTCATTTTCTAGCTTCCTTTTATTTCATTCAGTTTAAATATTTAAAAGTACAGCCATTTAGGTTTTCTGAAACAAATTGTGATTTCTTGATTGAACTTATTTTCCGTTAAGGAAAATAATAGACAAACATTCAATTGTTTAAATACTGAATGGCTATAGTTCTTTAATTTGCTATAAGAATAGCAGTAGCTACTCATCTTTTGTTTTGTTTTGTTTTGTTTTTCTTTCCTTCTCCCATATGACTAATTTTCCCTGGGAACCAGTGTGCAAAGATCAATAAAATAAAGGTGTAGAGACCTAAACGTACTTTCATCAACTTGCATTCCTTTACAGCTATCACCTTATTAGTTGCAATCTCTGACCATTGTTATTTCAGGTAATTCCTTTTGTCCAGCATGAAAATCAGCAATTCTGTATATACTTTTCATTCTTTCCTTATTCCTTTTGATCTAAATTCACAACAAAGGCCTATTTAAAAAATATTTTTATAAAATTTAATGTATACTATCACTGTAATATACACAAAGTTGCAAATTATAATTTTCGATGAATGATATCAGCAAAAATAATGTACCACATTGAGAAAGTAATATAAAGCATCATAGAGTAGAAACTAAATTCCTTAACTTCTAAACCAACAAAAAATTTTGCTTTAAATTCAAGAAATATGATAAAACTTAGGCTACTAATACTGTCAACACATAGTCTAATCTCTTGCTTATAATTGTTACTTGTTTGTAGGTGCAGGTAAGGGTACATTTTTCAGATAGGATATTGTACTCTGAAATAGAGTTGTGCTATGATGCTCCAGAGGGAAGATTTTTAAGACTTTGGTTTAGGTGGTGATGTGAAAACAAGTGAATATGCCCTCTGGGTACAAAGGTATCAAGAAAGCTTTCACAAGTTTCTCCATAACTTAAAAAAAGACCTGAACAAAGACAAAACCAAAAGATTTTAAAGCCAATTACCTTTTAGTAGTTGGTAAAATGAGTCAGAAGTTTTCAAAAGAAAAAATGAACATTGTTGACACATTATGTTCTATGCAATGTTTTAATTCATTTACCATATGAGATGTACAGACTACTGAGAAAATAAGATTTAAGGAAAATCTATATTTTGGAACATTGTAAATTGTTGTAGCCACTTAGATTTTACACTGGACTCTACAACCAAAGTACAAAACTTGTGTTTTGGTTCACAATCATAATCCTTATAACAAGTGCCTAGAACATTGCAAATGATAAAAAAATTATTGAAGGAATTAATATTAAACCTGATTAACACATCACAGTGCAGTTAAATAAATAGTACTGATAATCTTACCCTGCTTTGTCAAGAAAGGTAAAATTTTATTGAATATACTCTATTTTAAGCTTTATCTTCTATTTGTTCCTACATTAATGGCAACCATTCCCAAATTCCCAAGCAACTAGATTTTAATCTACTATTTATTCAGGAACCTGTCCACTCAAAATGAACAAATCTTTAAAATCAAAATTTAAATATAAAGAAATTTTATCCAACCCCAAGTTAAGATAGCTGCTTGGAATACACAGTCTTGACAAAGAAGAGAGTACTCTAGGAAATGAACATCTGGTGTAGGTTTGAATGTTTGTTTTTTACATAGAGTTAAATATTGTCATGATGAAGAACACTCCAGAAAGTTACAGAGTTTATGATTTTACTATGTGGAAGGCTGTATGAGTTTGATTTGGGGATCAAGAAGATTATCTTTTTCTTTGGAAGGCTCTTTTTTGGTTTTTATTATTATTTTTAATGAAGTAGACATACTATGTGTATGCTTGGGCCAGAAATAAAGCCCACATTGTGAGGATTTTGTGGAGTCATTTTGACCTCAGTAAATGATAAAGTATAGCTTCCCTAGGAGCCCAAGAACAGACCCCACAAACATAAATTGAAAATTCCCTTTATGAGATCAAAAATCTACTTGTTGACAAGTCTACTGCAGTTAAGTATTGGATGTGGATAGCATAATTTGAAAAATAAGAATACCTCCATCAAACAATGGAATGATAGAGGAAAAAAATTTATTAAAGACCTCAGGGGGCATCTGGGTGGCTCAGTTGGTTAAGCTTCCAACTTTGGCTCAGGTCATGATCTCACAGTTTGTGGGTTTGAGCCCCCCGTCAGGCTCTGTACTGACAGTTAGCTCAGAGCCTGGAGCCTGCTTCAGATTCTGTGTCTCCTTCTCTGTCTGACCCTCCCTTGCTCACACTGCCTCTCTCTCTCTCAGAAATAAATAAAACATTAAAAAATTTTTTTAAAGATCTCAAATATATCAGAACCTTTGATAGGATCACTTAAACTATTTAGCCATTTTTTCCCTCTTACTTTGTTTCTCATTCTGTGGCTGTATCACTCTGGTTTTATACATGAGAATATTGTGACTCAGAAACATGAAAGGTTATATAACTAGTTAAGTGGTGGCATTGGATTCAGCTCCTATATGATTTAAATTAAACAGGACCTGTTTAATTTTGTCTGCTTTGAATTTGCATTGCATCTACAATATATTTCCGTGTGTGTGTGTGTGTGAGAGAGAGAGAGAGAGAGAGAGAGACTATTGTCAGTATTGTACATTCTGTTTGAATCCTATATGTCATTACTTTCTCCTTCTCATATCTCAGAAAATTCAGTTTAATATGAGATTTTCTTTCCTTTTTTAAGCATTATTTAGTTTTTGAGAAAGAGGTAGTGTGCACAAGCAGGGGAGAAGCAGAGAGAGGGAGACACAGAATCTGAAGCAGGCTCAGGCTCTGAGCTGTCAGAGCCTGATGTGGGACTTAAACCCAGTGAATCATAAGATCATAATCTGAGCTAAAATCAGATGCTTAACCAACTGAGCCACTCAGGCACCTCTAAGAAAAGCAAATGGTACCTACATATTTTATTCTTCAATATACATACTCTACCCTCTTGTGCTATAACTAATTATCAATAGATTTCTCTACCAAATATTGTGGTGTATTTAGACTATAATTAAAGACTTTTACTTTCTTTTTCTTTTTTTCTTTTTTCTTTTTTTTTTTTTTTTTGTCTTTCTCTGTATAGTTCCTTTTTACCCCCTATACATTCTAATATAGACATTTTACTCAGGAGAAATTTTCATTTCATTGAAGAGATACTTCGGGAAATTTTCCATTTTAGTCATGTAAAGAGCTTGGAAGTCATCACTCCCTTCCTAATAAGATAAAGCTTAGCAAACTGAAAAGTCAAGGACTTTTTTTGGACTCGTAGAGAAATCAGGTGCAGGACAAATTGCTACTCAGAAATTTAAAGAGAGGAGTCCAGGTAGTCACAGATAAGGTCTACTTCTTAGGAGCAGAGGCCACTGAATCATAAACTGCTAGGAACTTGTACATGAAAATCTTGATGAATTTCTTGAGGATAAATGTGGATTCATTTTGAAAGATGGAAACTGTTAGGGCCACAGTTTCAAAGCCAGTCTTAAACTTTAGTGTGTCTAGCCTTTAAGAAACCCACCACATTTTCATGGTAAAGAGCCAAGAGAGATCAACTCTAGGGTCTGCCAAGGGGAGGAAATGAGTAACAATTGTCAAGTAAATCCAGTAAAACCAGTAAATCTTTATGGTTAAAAAAACAAACAAAAACAAAAACAAAGAACAAAAAACAAAAAAACAAAAACTTTTTTCAGAGCCTTATCTTTCCTGGGAGAAGGGTGTTTTCCTGACTCCAGTCCCCTCTAGTTTTCAGGTCTGCAGGAATAAGAGGAAAAACACTAATGAATGTCACAACCTACATATGCAAGCCCACTAAAAAGCTGAGAATTGATCATAAGGATACATAATCTTCCCATTTCACCTATCTTACTATCCTATCTTACTATTCCACTATCTACTACTCCCATTCCAGCAGGATTCTTCTTTAGTTATAGTGGATTATTCCTGAAAGAACTTCAAAGTGCCAGCTCTGTCTGAGTAGAAATTCATAGGGAAGCCCAAGAATTCAATGGGAAAATAAAATGACACTAAAGGAGTTTGAAGCTTCAGGTAACTCCAACTATAGCAAATATGGAACACAGAGAAGCTACTAGCTAGATTAACACATAATATACTAAGTGCCTATTTATGTCCATTACTATTACCTAATACATTATGTCTGACTTTAAATTTTAAAAAAATTCAAAGCAAGCTAGAAGGAAAGGAAAACAATTCAAAGAGACAAATTAAGCATCAGAACCAGACTCAGATAAGACACAGATTTTAGAATTGTCTGGCAAGAAATTTAAAGTAACTATGATTAATATTATGATAATGGGGAAAAATGGAGAATGTTTAAGAACAGATGAATAATGTAAGCAGAGAGACAGAAATTTTAAGTAAAAAATCTAACAAAGTGTTAGAAATAAAAAATGCAGCAGAAATGAAGAATGCCTTTGATGGGCTTGTCAGTAGAAAGGATGTGACTAAGGAAAATCAGTATACTTGAAAATATGTCAATAGAATCTTAAACTGAAATGCAAAGGGAAAACAAAGAATAAATATAACAGAACATTCATAAACTCTGGAACAACTTCAAAAGGTATTATAAACATGTAACTGGAATGCCAAAAGGAGAAGAAGAAATTGGAGTAGGGAAATATTTGAACGAATACTGAATAAGAATTTTCAAAATTAATGACATGGCAAATCATGGCCTAATGAGGCAGCTCAGAGGGCACTAAGCAGCATAAATAACTTTAATTAAAGGCACAATATACTTTATATAGATACATCAAATAAAGTATTTTTTATGGTGGTGTTAAATGAGAAGAGATATTTTGATTTCTAGTCAGACCCACTGAATATGATAGCGGGTTGTGATAGGACTTGTTTTTGACATTGAAGTCAACTCTGATTATAGGACTTTCTTTTATTTGGTCAGCTAATATGAAGAAAATGGTGACAATAGTAAAAAAAAAATAGATGTGCACTAATTTAAAAAAGTTGATAGTTTTCAATTTTACCTGTAATTTTAATTATTGAGAGCAAACATAAATTTGAAAATGTCAAATGCCATACTTTTAAGTATTCTGTTAGTAGCTCAACAGATATGGTATATTCTTAATACAACTGTCTAAAACCTAATAAAAATGAAATCAAATCAACTCACCAATTAAGACTTTCTACTTTGGCATGCTTTTCTTAATCTCAGAGACGTTGCTAAGTACAGATGAAAAATCAATTACTCTCTTTCCCAAAGAAATCCAAGTAAGGTAAGTATTTACTTCTAGTTTCACCTGTGCCAAAGTTTAAAATTTCCAAGCTATATCTTCTAGTTATGCCTAAAGGAAACCAAGAAGAACTTACCTGAAACATTTTTGGGGATGGTTATATTTCTCTTAGTTTAGTACTTGATGCCATGTGGTCTTACAGATAGAACACACAGAATTTCTTCATGCTTTAGATGAAAGACTGTATTCACACACAAATGATTTTTAAGTTCATTCCGGGAACACATTATGGAGAAACTGAATGTCTCTAAGAGTTCCTGGTACTGTGTTAATAGCCGTGATAACATGAGACAAAGGTGCAGTTCCCGTCCTTAAGATGATAACATTTGAGTGACCATCTCTTTTATTTTTCTCCATTTTTAATTGTCTTCTTGTCTTCTCAGTAAAACAGGTGCCAGTAATTTCCACCAATAGCAATTAGGGACACCAAGTTAAATGAAATTATGGATAATTACTTAAAGTGATCCCTGGCCCCTTTCCCATCTGAAAATCTGGACCTTGAATATTCTTCCTATAAGATACCATTTCTTTGCTCTTGGAATGGAAACTTTCAGACAGACAATTTTTGAAACTTTCTATAACCAACCGAAACAGCCTCTACTGCTTATTTAGTGCTATTTGTCAATATATTTAGAAAAGCTGATGCTAGTAATCAGAATAATATATCTTTTGTCATATGCAAATAGGTAAGCCAAGAGACCCTTTATCTGACAGTGCACATTGTCTGTACAACTGACTTTTTTTTTCTGTAAATTGTTCAGGTTCTAAAACTGACACTGATGCCACAAAGAAAGAAGTGAAATAATTATGGAAGTATACAATCAATAAGTAATGAACAGTAATTATTTATTGGACAGTAAGTCAATAGGAGCAACTTGTGCCCATTTTCATATTGTCACACACATAACAGATAACTAGGCACAATCAATAGAAAGCTAATTCTTACAGCCCCAAAGAAATGGCTGATTTCATAAATATGTATGTGTTCAATATATCAAGCTGGCACAAGCTCCTTCTAAACAAATTAGAAATGTCTTATACTGTCTAATTTTTCCATAGTCTGTTTGTAAAGACTTAAAATAGCAAAACACCATTTTGTACTAAATATAATCATCCAGGCATAACCACAAACATATATTTTTTCATTTATAGGTACCAATGTTTTTACAAATGCTATATCATTAAATATCATAAGAACAACCAGTTGTCACCAGATTTGCATATTAAAGGACCTTCCCAAAGGAAGGTGTTCAGATTGAAAGGAAATGATTCTAGTTAAAAATTTAGAACTACAGGAATAGCTAAAGAATGGTATCAATAAATACATGAGTAAATGATTTTTTTCTGATTTTTTAAAAATAAAAACCTGAGTTATTTAGTGAAGAGATAATAAAATGCACTTTTAGGCTTTTGTAGATGTATAGAAAGGTGATATAACAAAGGATGGATGGATATCAATAGTTTAAGATTCTCATAAGTGAAATGATAGATGTATGATAAAATGGCATAACTCAGGCTGTGATGATAATATATACTCTAACTCTTAGAGAAGCCATTGGAGAGAAAACAGGTACAGTTGCATGTATACAGAATGAATAAAAATAAATACTGAAATTAATTGATTAAAAAAACTTAGGAACCTCCATACTGTTTTCCAGAGTGAAAGCACCGGTTTGAATTCCTACCATCACTGTTAGGAGGATTCCCCTTTCTTCACATCCTCACCAGCACCTGTTGTTTCTCGTATTGTTGATTTTAGCCATTCTTACAGGTATGAGGTGATACCCTATTGTAGTTTTGATATGCATTTCCCTGATAATCAGCAATGTAGAGCATCTTTTAATGTGTCTATTGACCATCAGTATATCTTCTTGTAAAAATGTCTATTCGTGTCTTCTGTTGATTTTCAATTGGATTATTCATTCTTTGAGTGTTCAGTTTTAGAAGTTCCTTATGTATTTTGGAAACTACTCCTTTATTATATATGTGAATTGCAGGTAATTTCTCTCACTCCATATGTTGCCTTTTAGTTTTGTTGATTGTTTTCTTTCACTGTACAGAAACTTTTTATTTTGATGTAGTCCCAATAGTTTATTTTTGTTTGTTTCCCTTGCCTCCAGAGATCTATCTAAATAGAAGTTGCTACAACTGATATCAAAGGGGTTACTGCCAATGTTCTTCTCTAGGATTTTTATGGCTTCAGGTCGGACATTTAGTCTTGAGTCCATTTTAAATTTTTGTGTGTGTATGGTGTAAGAAAGTGGTCCAGTTTCATTTTTTTGCATGTTGCTGTCCAGTTTTACCAACACCATTTGTTGAAGAGACCATCTTTTTCCCATTAAATATTTTTTTCCTGTTTTGTCAAAGATCTATTAACTATGTATCCTATGATCTAGTAATTGCACTACTAAGTATTTACCCAAAGAATATAAAAATATAGATTCAAATATATATATATAATGTATATATATAATGTATATATAATGTGTATATAATGTATATATATATAATGGAATATTACTTGGCCATATAAAAGGATGAGTGAGTGCCTGCATGGCTCAGTTGGTTAAACATCCTACTGTCTGACTCTAGGTTTCAGCTCAGTTCATGATCTCATGGTTCATGGGTTTGAGCACATTGATTGGGCTCTGCACTGATAGCTGCAGAGCCTGTTTGAGATTCTCAGTCTACCTCTCTACCTACCCCTCCCCTGCTCATTCTTGATCTTTTTCTCTTAAAGTAAATAAATGAGTATTTTTAAAAAAAGAATGAATCTTGCCAATTGCAATTACATGGATGGAGCTAGATAGTATTATGCTAAGTGAAATAAGTCAGTCAGAGAAAGACAAATACCATATTATTTCACTCATATGTGGAATTTAAAAAACAAAACAGAGGGAAAAATAGGCAAACCAAGAAACAACTCTTTGCAGAGAACTGATAGTTACCAGAGGAGAGGTGGGTCACAGATGGGTAAGATAGGTGACAGGGTGCACTTACTGTGATGAACACTGGGTGTTATATGGAATCATTATAGTGTACACCTGAAACTAATATTATATTGTATGTTAACTAACTGGAATTTAAATAAAAACTTAATAACCAGAAATGTTATTCTAAAATAAACATGGTAGGGAAAACAATAAGCAAGGGGGATCAAAAACAAGTTAATACACATGATTATCCTCATTTTATAGGTTAGGCCTTAATACTGAAGAAAGTTAAGATACTTGCCCAAGATTACAAAGCATTTCAAAGAAGTTCCATGATTCAAATACAGACCTGCCTGATTGATTCCAATTATGCTCAGTTCCTAAATGGTACTGCGTAAACATCTTAATTATAATCATTACTGCAGGATGACAGTTTTGACTGAAGTTTTAGATCGGAGTATTACAGTATAAATATTTCTGCTGAAAAGATACTTTTAAATAAAATTTTGAAATAAACTTAATCTAGGTAACAAATTATTCTTACTCCTATATTTTCCTTCTCTTTTATGATTTTAACCTGAAAAGCAGCCACTTAAAAATTGAAATAAAATCCTATAACCACATACCAATTGAAAAAATGTAATGATTAAAAAATCAAGCAATCCAAAAGTAGGAGAGAAGGGACAAAGAACAGAGGAAAAGATGAAAAAGTCATATCAATAGTTACATTAATGTAAATTGACAAAGTATTCAATGTTAGATTATCAGAATATGTTTAAAAACACAAGACCCAATTCCATGATGTCGTCAGTAGTTGCACTTTAAATATGAAGACTGAGGAGTGCCTGGGTGGCTCAGTTGATTAAGTGTCCAACTTCGGCTGAGGTTATGATCTTACCGTTCCTGAGTTTGAGCCCCATGTCAGGCTTTCTGGTGACAGATCAGAGCCTGGAGCCTGTTTCAGATTCTGTGTCTCCTTCTCTGTCCCTCCCCACTCTAGTTCTATCTCTCATGAAAATGAATAAAATTAAGAGTGATAATTTATAAGTATAAATACAGGAAAAAGATTTAATAGAAACCTTCGTGTTAAGAGAAAGTGGTTATATTTATTTGATAAAAATATATACATAAAGAGAAATAGTATCACTAGGGATAGAGGGACATTTCAGAGTTATAAAAGTGTCAAATCTTCAAAAAGACATAATCCTAAAAGTAGATGCACAAGATAGGAAACAAAAAATGACAAATAGAAGAATGAATAGATAAGATTTATTAAAATTGTTGAAGGTTATAGCTTTATGTTTTAGCAATGAATAAGGAAAAGGCAGACAAAAAGTAAGAAGGCAACGTATTTCCTGACATGACAGAAAAATTATTACAATAGATTTCTTACTAGAAGAAACTATAAAACTGAGCAAAATATATGTGACAAAATCTTTAGTCTGGACTGGGCATTATAAGATGGCAATTGCTAATAGAAAGTAAACTCATAAGATGAAACTTATGATCACCTCAGCCTAAGAACAATTCCCCAAAGCAGAAGATTGTGATTTTGTTGAGTTAGAGAGGCTTAGAATTTAAGGCTGGTGAAGGAATTTGGAATCTAGGAGGTGAGGACCTTAGAAAAGAAGTAGAATGAATAAAAGGAGCCTGTATTGGGGGTTCTTCACAGGTTTCTGGTTGAGAGTTAGGCTCATGTAAGTGCAACAGGGCAAGACAACATGATGTTTACAGAAGAGCAGCTGCTGTGAGGTTATAAGAAGAAAAACAAGTTTAAAAGGCAAACATCCTGAGAAATCATTTATAGTATCTTAGCCACAATAAAGAAAACATTTTAATGCCCAGCTCACTTACCTGAAATACCAAAAATACCAAATTTAGGAGTAATGACTACTATAAAAAGGAATACTCTGGACACTCTTATGAAGTTTAACACCAAACTTCAATAAGATCTACAGGGGAGACAGCATTTGTAGATTGAGAACCACCAAGATAGATGACCTTAGGAAACTTTCCACTTATCTTCCCTGATTAAACATTAAATCAAATATGCACAAGTGATTAGGCATCTACAGGTGATTGTTCTATTTACTAGAACAAACATTAACACTTTGCAGTACAAGATAACAGAATGCATAGCCTCTAAAATATATCACCCAACATCTCCACAATGCAATTAAAAACATTGCTAAACATGCAAAGCCACAGTAAAATGTTACCTAAAGTCAAGAGAGAAAAAAAACAGTCAATATAAATTGGTCTGAGAAGATTCAAGAAATAGTATTTAACCCACAATAACTTTAAAACAGCAGTTATAAATATATTTAAAGGCAAAGAGATCATCTTCATTACTAAAAATGTAGGTATTTTCAGCAGGAAAAAAATTATGAAAAGCAGACATTGGAAATTATAAAACAAAATAACTGAAGCAGAAATGTTCTCTGATGTGTGTAGAAAAGACCTATCAACAATAGCACAAACAGTTGGAATAGATGAACAAAATTTTGCTATGTTTATTACATTCTTAATATAGGAAATGGGGTGGGAAATGTGGGAATTGTGAAATGTGAAGTAGAAAGTGAGCATGAAAATGTGGGGAGTAAGAATTGGGAAGTGTCAAGTGTAAAGTTTACAATGGTAGAGTTGTAATGTGACATATACTTTAGTAAGTGAGGGATGTCTGTATTGAAAGAGGTAAGGCTTACTAGCCAATAGAAGAGATAAATTAGAAAACTAAAAATATTTTATTATTTTAGAAATGTCTATTTATTTTGAGAGGGAGAGAGAGAAGGGGTGCAGGGGAGGGACAGAGAGAGAAAGGGGGACAAAGGATCTGGTGTGGACTCTGAGCTGATGGCAAATCAAATCATGAGATCAAGACCTGAGCAGAAGTTGTACACTTAATCAACTGAGCCACCTAGGTGCCCTGAAAAATAAAAATATTTTATTAAATAAAAAGATAGGAAAAGAGTAAGAACTGATTAAGAGCTTTAGTAATAGAAAATAAAAAGACAATACATGTCAATAATTATATTAAATCTAAAAGGAATAAACATTCTACTTAAAAGACTCAGTTTTTTTAACTGTATAAGAAAGCAAGATCTGGGGGCACCTGAGTGGCTCATTTGGTTAAGTATCCATCTCGACTCAGGTCATGATCTCATGATTGATGAGACTGAGCCCCACATCATGCTCTGTGCTGACAGCACAGAGCCTGCTTGGGATTCTCTCTTTCCCTCCGTCTTTTCCTCACCCCTTCTCATGTGCACTTGCTCTCTCTCTCTCTCAAAATAAATAAACTTTAAAAATCCAAATTTGTGTTGTCTATAGAAACACATAGGTTGAAAACAAAAGTATGAAAAAATAGACATACCTCACAAACAGCTGAAAGAAGCTGATGTGGCTATATCAACAAAGTAGACCTCAAGGCAAGGAGTTTTATGATATATAAAGAAGGGCATTCCATAATGATAAAAGGTGTAATTCAGTAGGAAGAAATAGCAAGTCTAATTTAGTGGGCCTGTAATAATAGAGTTTTAAATGATGCAAAAGAACCCCTCACAGTATGAAAGGAGAGAGAGACAAATTTGCAATATTGGAAGCACCATTCTCTTAGTGATTGAAAGAAATACACTTTTCACTATGTAGAAAGTTGTAACTTGTTATTGTTGCTGTAAAAAATCACAAATTTAACATCCTAAAACAACACAAATGTATTATAGTTTTGGAGGTCAGAACTCCAAATAGGTCTCACTGGGCTGAAATCAAGATATCAGCAAGGCTGTTTGCCTTTTTCAGGTCCTGAGAGAGAATCTGTTTTTTCTTGCCTTTTC